CATGGTCATCCCCCCCCACCCAGGGGTGACTTCTTGCTTTCTGTCTCTCTGTCTCTGTTTTTCTGGCGAGTTCAACACCCTACAGCAAAAACCTCTCCAAAAAAAAGAAAAAAGGAAAAAACAAAAGAACTTTCATTAGATGGTGACAGTGCTATGGAGATAAATGAGGCAGGGACGCCGATGGGCAGTCCTGCTGGCAGGACTGTGGGGAAGGACAGAATTTAGAATTGGGTGGTCCAGAAACACCGCACCGAGATGACATGTGAGTCAAATCCAAAGGTGAGTGAGCCATATGACTACCTGGAGGAGACCTTCTCAGACCGAGGAGCAGCGAGAGTCCTGAGGCAGTGGAAAGCTGCCATGGGAGTCCACGTGGCTGGTGCAGGGGGAGGAGGAGGAGCAAGAGATGGGGTCCGGGCAGAAACGTGAGGGGCAGATCTCGGGTCGTGGCAGCATGCAGCAAGGAGGAATAGGGCGGCCCCCCACCACTTGGGCAGGCCCAGGCAGCCGGCCATGTGACACACAGGCAGCATCAGTGAGGGCGAGGCAGGGGCCTGGCTGGGAGCCCACGATGAATCCCAGGTGGTGGTGGCCCAAGGGTTCACTGCCTCTTAGCGTAAGTCAGCAGACGGTTCCAGTGGAGCCAGCAAGGCAGATTAGCTGTAAGCCTGCGTGTGTGTGTGTGTGTGTGTGTGTGTGTGTATGCCCCCACTAATACCAGGTGCAATGGGTGCCCAGATGCAACTGCCAGGCATGAATCATGTCCACGAAGGCAGAGCACACTGCTGCCTCACGGAGGTGTGTGTGCGTGGGTGTTGCTGTGCGTGTGGGAGCACTGTGCGCAGGGCATGCAGGAGGGTGGAAACGAAATCTCAGAACCAAGAACAGCCTGTGCCAACTGGATGAGGTGGAAGCGAGCAGGGGCTTCCCGGGACTGTGAACAGCTGCTGTAGGTGTGTGGAGGGTGAGGCTGGGCCCAGAGCGACCTGAGGTGGGCTGTCCAGGAGGGGCATGAGGCCATTGGGAGGATTCAGTAAGAGGCCAAGAGGAATGTGAAAAGAGGAGGTTAAGGGGGCCGGTAGGTGGCATGGTCCGGGATTCCCTCAGGGCTAACTGTGGTTCAAGTCCTGGACCCAGTACCGAAAATCACAACAAATAAGTAGATGGATAAATAAAAAATGTTTTTCTTTAAAAAAGAAGGAGATTGAGAGGTAAGAAAGATAATGAAGCTTGAAAGTTCGGGGAGGGGAGTTACACAGGAAGGAAAATGAGGTTCTGCACTCTGCCAGTTACTGAGGGCTCTGGGGTAGCTGTGGAAGTTCGATTTTTATCTATTTATTTTTTGGAGAGGCTTTTGCTATAGGGCGCGTGCACTCGCCAGACAGAGAGAGACAGAGACAGAAAGTGAGAAATCACCCCCCCACCAGGGGAATGGCTACGCTACAATCCCTTCTCCTCCATTCTCCTCTCGGGATCTTGGGCACGCACGCAAACGTACCCAGTGTGAGTCTTAAGCCACCGGGTCCGGGACTCAAACCGCAGTCAACTACATGGGAGTCCAGCGACATAGCCATTACGCTAACTGCTGGAATTTCTATTTTCTAAACTGAGTGAGGTTATAAAGATTTTGTCTTAGAATAATTCACTAAACTGTACGTTTGTGGACTTTAAAAAATCTGTTTTCTTTTGTAATAAAAAATAATTTGAGGGAACCAGCAGTTAGCATAATGGCTATGTCGCTGGACTCCCACGTAGTCAACCGCAGTTCGCATCCTGGACCCGGTGGCTTAAAACTCACGCCCGGCGCGTGTGCGTGCGTGCCCAAGATCCCAAGGGGAGAATGGAGAAGGGATTGCGGCATGACCATCCCCCCTGGGGGGGATTTCTTGCTTTCTGTCTGTGTGTGTCTGGCGAGCGCACGCGCCCTATAGCGAAAACCTCTCAAAAATTTTTTTTTGAAAGGACATGCTAGGAGGAGGTGACTGAGCTGGGACCTTGCTGAGTCTGGGAAGAGACTGTGGAGGGGAAAGGATGAGCCAGAGGGGAGGAGAGAGGACAGTGCCCGGGGTGGGGGAGGGCTTTGCTCCAGAGACCGGAGAAGAAGCGACGCCAGAGGGCGCCCTTGGGCCGCCGGCTGTTTCCAAGGCTGGACAGTTCGGCGCATGCGCAGGTCAGGAGGCCGACCAGCCCGTGGCACCGATGCGGTCAAGACCGGCTGAGGTCGCAGCCCTCACCAAGAATGTGCAAGAGCTCACTAGCTTCAGTAGCTTAGAAACAGTGATTACAAGTGGGAATGACAGTGTTTTGCATATTGCTGCCACATAAAATACATTACTGATTTGTTGTTTCATTTGCATTTTTCCTTTTTTAAAAAGAATTATTTTATTTAACTTTATTCATTTATGTATCTAGTTATTTTAATGTGACCACAGACGGACAGAATGAGAGAGAGTGAGAGAGGGAAAGTGAAAAATCATGCCACCAGGTTCAGGACTCGAACTGCAGTAAATCATGTGGGAGTCCAGCGCCTTTAACCTCCATGCCACCTGCCGGGTTCAGTTTCCTAATGGAGACACCTGCAGTAGGGACCTTCTGGTCTATGGGCTTACTCCTTCCCCCTGCCCTGAGAGCAAGACCCCACCTTGCCCTGGCGGAAGGCCGGGCACCTCAGTGCTGCTGACTTTTGCACAGCCCTGGGCCTCTGTCCCACGTTCCTGGCCGGCTCGGCCTCCACAATGGTGCCCTCCCTGCCCCTGCCACCTCCTGGAGCTTCAGGATCCAGGCACAGCAGCCCTGCAGCCGGCCCCCACCCCATCCTTGCCACCAGGACACTCTGATCCCCGCACTGTCCTGCTTGGTGGCTGTACACTGACTCTGCTGACCCTCTGTGCCCTGCTCCCCTGTCTAGAAGTTTGGAGGGGAGCACAGCATTGGTGCCGCCAGTGTGTCCCCTGCTCTCGGCAGTGCGGGCTAGTTGCATGGATACGAGTGACTGAGTAGGTTCTGCCAGGCTCTGGGAAGCGCACATCTGGTCAGGGTCGGGGGCAGGTGGAGTCAGAGCAGGAGCCTTTCCGGGTCTGGGGAGGGTGAGAGAACGAGAGCTGCACCCAGGGACAGGGAGGAGACAACCGGCAGGGGGCCAGGAGCTGACTGTCCTGAGAGGGAGACAAAAGCTCACAGGAATGGGGAACCCTGAGACCCCACGTTGTGGCAGCCCCAAACCCACGCCTTGGGGTTTGGAAGATGTTATCTGTGGGCATTTCAAAGCCATCCTTGCTGGTTTACTTATAAGGCAATATCTAGAACAAAAATGGTTTCTCCCCATAAAAAAAGCATGTAAGTACATGCTCTCTAACAGTCACTGCAGCGTGGGCCCAGGTGACGCTGGGCAGTGCTGGGCAATGGCACCGGGGGCCTGGCAGCTGAGGCTGCAGTGTGTGAGAAGGTGCCCTGAGCAGGGCATCCTTCCATGGAGAATATCGGTGCTAATGGGCTGCAGACAAAGCGCAGCTCTGAGCCCAGCACAGACGCGGGAATGCCGTGGAAGTAACAGGACTGCAGTCAGGGAGGCAATACCCTGGGCCAAAGGTCAGCAGACACGCTCCTTTTTTTTTTTTTTTTTTTTTGGGAGGGTGGAGAGATTTTTGTTATAGGGTGCGTGCACTTGCCAGAAAGACAGAGACAGACAGAGAGATAGAAAGCAATAAATCACCCCTTGGGGGGGATGGCCACACTGCAATCCCTTCTCCTCCATTCTCCTCTTGGGATCCTGAACATGCACGCACCTACACCCGGCGTGAATTTAAGCCACTGGGTCCAGGACTCGAACCGTGGTCGACTATATGGGAGTCCAGTGACATAGCCATTATGCCAACTGCTGGTCCCAAGCAGACACTCTTAAAGGACCAGACGACAGATGTCTTAGGTTCTGAGGGACAGACTGCCTCTGCCCCAAGTACTCAGCCCTGGGCCTGTAGTGTGAAAGCTGCAGAGACGATGTGTAAGTGCATGGGCTGCTGTGTCCAATAAAGCGCTATTTAAAAAACAGGCGGCAGGCTCGATTTGGCATTGGGCCACGGTTTGCTAGCTCCTTGATGATCTCCAGAAAATGAGGCTCTCCTGCCAGCCTTGGGGCCCTGAGGGTGGTCTCCACATGCAAATAGCCCTTGGGCTCCTTAGAGAATCACTACCAGCAGAGACCTGGTGTGCGGATTTCCAGGACGCTCCCATACGAGGCACAGGACGGTCAGCCCATTGTTGGGCCGACAGCAAACTCAACCATAACATCTGCTGCAGCAGTCAGCCTGCAACCTTCTCAAATTGGCGGAAATAAATCCCTCTGGTCTTTCATGAGAAGTGAATCAAAGGGTTTCTTTGCTGGGAGGTGTTAAGCTTGCAATGGAGAATGGGGGGTGGGGGAAACAGAAGGAACCTCATTTTAAAATATTTTGCAGCACTGGGCCCCTGGCCTAGTGGTTAATGGAGCCGAATTCTACATGGCCAACGACAGTTTGAATCCCAGCCCTAGTGGCTTGAGAAACACACCAGCTGGATATGTTTGCATGCCCCCAATTGAGACTGGGTGGAAAGATGGAGAAGGGATTGTGGCATGACCATGCCCCTTGGGGGAAGTGCTTTTTCCTTTTTTTAAAAATTTTTTTGGAGAGGTTTTTGCTATAGGGCGCGTGTGCTCGCCAGAAAGACAGAGAGAGACAGAGACAGAAAGAGAGAAATCACCCTCGGTGGGGGATGGCCACGCCGCAATCCCTTCTCTTCCATTCTCCTCTTGGGATCTTGGGCACGCTCGCACACACGCCCGGTGTGAGTTTTAAGCCACTGGGTCCGGGACGTGAACCGCGGTCAACTACAGGGGAGTCCAGCAACATAGCCATTAAGCTAACTGCTGGTCCTGGGAAGTGCTTTTCCCTTCTTCCTCTCTCTGTCTTTCTCTGGTGAGCACATGTGCCTTCTGGCGACTAAAAGATGCATATTTGGCAATTAAAAAAATACGTTATTTTGCAGACTTAGCAGCAAAGTCAGACGTTTCCAGCAAGAGAGAGATTAGTGGCAGCAGGACAGACAGCCTGGCCTCACAGGGACAAGCCAAGGGCCTCGTCGCTCTCTCTTCCTAAGGGGAGCTAGCAGTGCCTGGGGGCCTGGGGTCAAGGGTTCGCCCTCGGGAAAGGGAAACACACGCAATCAAAATGCAGAGGCGTGGCGGGTACCATGGGGCGCTAAAAGGCAGAGGGAGCCGGTGGGGATTCCTGGCAGAGTGGGGTCTGGTGAAAGAGGAGGATGAAACAGTAACCAGATATGAGACAGGGTTTGTGTGGGCAGATGTTTATATAACTGCCGTGGAGGAGTTAGAGCTTAATAGCAGCCTGTCTGCTGGAGCACGCAGTTGCCAAGCAATACTCCCTCGTGCCCCGAGGTTCTCTCTTGCCGAAAGCCCTCGCAGGGACTCACCGAGGTCAGTGCCTCCACGCTGGCGCCCATCAGACACAGGTACCGCACCACGTCCAGGATCCCGTTGTTGGCCGCGAGGTGGAGAGGCGTTCGCCCATACTGGAAAATGAGAAAAGAAGACTGGAGAGTTCTTTTCATGGTTGTTCCGGGAGTGCATTCTGGGGAGATGGCATTATGTAAGAGATCCGGGGTCCACCAGGAAGAAAGAGGAGGTGCAGCCTCCCTTCCCCAGAAATTTGCCATCCGCGGAGGCAAGCCAGCCAGGCAGAATGTTTTCAAGTATTGTGCAATTAAAAGAGTAACTTCCAAATGCAGTTCCACAGAATGAAGAATGGGGGGCTTATCCGGAGATAGCTAAAGGCAGTTTCCTGCTGCACTGGCAGAAAGAGGCATGGGGTGAGCTTGGGGCCACCACAGTTCCCATGTAGTCACAGTCAGGGAGAAGACACATGAGGGCAGCTAGTAAAGAACCTGCAATAAGGGAAATTTCAAGGACATGCCCACTGTTTTTTAAAATTAGTTACTTAATTTGATTTATCATTATTGTTATTTTAAAATTTTCTACAGAGAGAGACAGAGAAAGAGAAAGTGAAAAAGCAAGCCGCCAGGTCCGGGACTCGAACTGTGGTCAGCCATGTGGAAGTCTATCACCTTTAACCACCACACCATCTGCTGTCTGCATGATGTTATTTTTTATGCCTGTGGTCCTTGAGTTCTGTGGCAAGGCACTGCAGGGAATTTAACCGGGGTGCTGGGGAATAATCTAAGTTTTGTATGGAACCCCCAGATGCGGACACCATGCAGCTTGAGGTAGTTGAGTCTCAACGTTAGACTAAATTTCTCCCATTCAGTGGCCTCCTTCCTCTGCACAGGGTAGCTGGCCTCTGCTGTGGGAAGAAGCCAGTGCCTTCTGAAAGCCGCTGTGGGACAGGAAATGCAGGAAGTGGCGTCGACCTGAGTTCCGGATTGGACATGTGCAGTGCCCAGCCGGCACACACACCCCTTAGCGAGGACCCGAGGTTATGGAGGTGTAAAACAGGAAAATTAGTTTGTCTGCAGTTCATGTGTATTCTTTTCCTGGATGCTGAGTTTTCTGGACTCTGCTACTTCATAAACAACAGTCAGTAGAGCTGTTAGGGACTGCTTTTGTCCTAGGCGAACTATGACGAAAATGACTGAGACACTAACAATGCCGTGAACTGAAAAAGTTTGGGGATTTCTGTATTATGCTGTTTGTTTGTAAATATCAGTTTTGTTATGGAGTTAACCCATGTGCATTTATAATTATTCAAATAATAGGGGCCAGCCAGTGGTGTGGTGGTGAAGGCGGGTGGGTTCCAGACGGCCGACAGCAAAGTTTTTCAACCCAGTGGCTTGAAAAACATGCTGGGTGTTTTTGTGTGACTCTGTGTGTGTGTGTGTGTGTGTGTGTGTGTGTGTCCCAAATCCCAAGAGGGATGAAGAAGAAGGGATTGCAACATGGCAAAGCTCGTGGTAGGTGCTCTCTCTCTCTCTGATGAGCAAACACACCCTACAGCGATTTTTTTAAAAAGTGGAATTAAAAAGAAAAAGTACCCAAACAATATAGAAGGGTATTTAGTAGGAAAGTTCTCATCTGTAGTCTACCCTCTTTTCCAAGCCCCCCTGCTCAGAGTGACCCTTACTTAATATTTTGTACATTTTCTTCCAAGTTCTTCTCTATACATCCTTAATAGGAGATCCATAGTTTAAAATGGCAGGACGTGACCGTACTCTGCACTCCATCTGTCACTTGTTTTATTCTCCTAACGACAGACTTTAACTGCCCTCCCCCATGCTACTAAAGGCGTGGCCGTGTCGTGATTCCTTTAACCGGCCTGCGAGGGAGGGCTGGGGGAGTTCACTACGTGCTATTGAAGTACCGCTGCGATGTGCATTGCATCTTCGTGTGTTGTTTACTAGAATCTTCTACGGTGCTTTGGGAAGCAGATACTAAGCTTTCACATATCCTAGAGTTAATGTAAGAAGGAAAAGAGAAGCACCTGAAGATTTAAATGAAATGTTTAGAAGAAGAAATGTAAAGAAAAGATCATTTTGCATTTTGCATAGATGAATACATCATAAATCCAAAAGTTAAAAAAAAAATTTTGGGGGGAGAGATTTTTGCTATAGGGCACATGCACATGCCAGAGAGACAGAGAGACAGAAAGTGAGAGATCATCCTCCAGGGGTGATGGCCATGTGGCAATCCTTTCTCCTCCTGGGATCTTGGGCATGCATGCACATGCTCTTGGTGTGAGTTTTAGGTTGCTGAGTCTGGGACTCGAACTGTAGTTGATTATGTGGGAGTCCAGTGACGTAGTCATCGTACCATCTGCTGATCCCAACAACCCAATAGTTTTCTATTTTCTTTTCTTTGGAGAGGTTTTTGCTATAAGGCGCGTGCACTTGCCAGAAAGAGAGAGAGACAGAGAGATAGAAAGCAAGAAATCACCCCCTGGGGGATGGCCACGCCGCAATCGCTTCTCCTCCATTCTCCTCTTGGGATCCTGGGCACGCACGCACACGCACCCAGCGTGAGTTTAAGCCACCGGGTCTGGGACTCGAACCGCGGTGACATAGCCATTAAGCTAACTGCTGGTCCCTGTAATAGTTTTCTAAAGAGAAAAAAAGAAGATGAAGAGGAAGGATGAGGAAGAGCAGGGAGGAGAGCCAGGCACGGGTGATGGGACTAATCACAGTTACTCAGGAGGCTCGGGCAGGAAGATTATGAGTTTGAGAACAGCCTGGGCAGGGCAGGGAGAGACCCGGGAGAGAAGACTGCATCCTTTGAAGCACTCTGATTTTGGATACAACAAAACTCAGATTCCTTAGCATTACATTCCAGGTCTTTCATCTTCTGAACCCACTGTCTCTTTCCAGCTTCATTTTCTCCCTGTCCCCATCACTCCCTTCCTACGTACCCACACCACGTCCCCCATGTCCTCAACACACGTGCTTCCTGCAGTCTGAGACAGGCTCTCCCTCCCCCCACCTGTCAGAGCCCTAATCACCAGAAGTGAGGACCTAAGCAAAGCGTTCTTGATTTCTTTAACGTCCAGACCCCTGCTTCAGTGATCCTGGAGCACCTGTGGCCTTTCACAGCGACGCCGACAACGTGCGATGCTGCTATGAAATCTGAATGCATGTGTCCGTCTAAAGGCGACCTGAGGGCAGAGTCATTCCCACTGGCATCTACATGCGCCTCATGGTGGCCTGGCATGGTGCTCTCCGAGAAGGGATGAATAAACCCTCAACGGCAATGGAGCTCTCCCTCAGACTCCCAGCTGCATGTGTGTGTGCGTGCCGGCGTGTGCACATCTGCAACATGCTTCCTCTGTCTTGGCTTGTAAGAACCGACCTAGATGGAAACAAACGAGCAAGTGTCGTGCATTTGCATCATCCGTTCTCTTTCCTCACGTGTGTTCTCCGACACGGCCGGTTAAACGGCCACTCTCCTGATTTTTACGCGAGAAGAAGGAAGCACGAAGCAAAGTTGATTTCACTGCAGTGCGCATCGCAGAGACAAGGTTCTGTCATGTATTAGACAGGGGTCGGAGGTGAATGGTCATTTTTATCCCTGGGGGAGTCTGATCCAGCAAGGAAAAGGCAAGACAACACCGTGGGGAAAGGCTGGCGGTCTGCCTGTGCAACGTGGATGTCACCATGCCACATCCACGCTGACTATCGGCTACTTGGGTCAGTCTCGTAGAGCTGGATGTGCTTTGCGGGGAAGATAATGCCTTCTCCCTACTCCCTGCACATCGTGTAAGCTCCTCTAGAGACCCCATCACTTTTCCTTAAGCAAACAGAAAACAAAACCAAAAAACACAAGAGAGACACCAGTCTTTCCAAAGAAAGCATGAGAACCACGAAGTCAGGTGTGAGCAGCAGCAGCAGGGTGACCTGGGGCGCCTGTCCGCGGCCAGCAGTGCAGAGGCTGCCTGCCACCAGCACCCCTCAGCTCCGCATCTGCCGAGTAAGGGGTGGACTTCGCTGATGGTTCCAGGAGGCTGAAACTGTGGAACTGATTTCACTGCAGCTGAGCTCAAGTCAGTGACAAAATCCTATACCAAAACCCAAATACAGCACAAGTTTATGTCAACACGGCCATATCAAACACGTACCGACTGGTATACCCAGCAGGCCTCTGTCTTTGGGTGATAAAATTGGGCCCAAAGAAGATGTGAACTACAGCCTAACTTGATGTATGGGCAAGTTGTGACCTAAAGTAAGGTATGGCATGTTTGTCAGTCCTTCCTTTCTCTCTCTCGTGCTCTTTCTTTTCCTATTTAAATTTTGCTGTAGGTCACCTGTGGTCACTGGAGAGAAAGAAAAGGAGAGGGAGAAGGAGAGAGAGAGAGAGAAAGTGAGAAAGCATCCCCGAGAGGGGATGGCCACACCACAATCCTTCTCCTCCATTTTCAAGATTTTGGGCATGCATGCACATGCTCCCTGCTTGTTTTTTTAAGCTACCAGGTCCAGGACTCAAACTGCAGTCAGCCATGTGGGACCCAGCTGCCTTAACCACTATGCTACTACCTGGTCCAAGAATATATTCTTTATTTTTTTTTGGAGAGATTTTTGCTATAGGTTGTGTGTGCTCGCCAAAGAGACAGAGAGAGACAGAAAGACAGAAAGCGAGAAATCACTCCCTGGGGGGATGGCCACACCACAATCCCTTCTCCTCCATTCTCCTCTTGGGATCTTGGGCACGCAAATACACACGACTGGTGTGAATTAAACCACCGGGTCTGGGACTCGAACTGTGGTCAACTATATGGGAGTCCAGCGACATAGCCATTACACTAACTGCTGGTCCCACTAAGAATATATTCTTATAACCAAAACCTGAGCCTCAGCCAGTCCCAGCAGCCAAGCGTCAACCAACCACAGGCTGTCCGCTGATTAGACCACGGCTGAGGCAAGTGTCAAGGCGGAGTCAGGTTGGGTCTGTACGCCGCTTCCTTCCCTCTGGCTATAACCATAACCTGCTCGTGTGGTGAGCAAGCATCTGGAACCAGTCTCGGTCAGGACTGCTGTCTGTTTCTGTTGTACAGCCTGTCTTCTGCTCAGATAAA